GAGAGGTTGCAGTGAGGTTCTGCGGGAGGGTGCGAGGTCCAGAAGTGAAAAAGAGACAGAGATGTTCCCTTTTTCGACTGATCAAGAAGACTGAACCTAAGCACAAAATGACCACGCTTGGGATCCTAGAGCTCAACTCCTGGTCGGGGAAGTGGGCTAGGAGATTCTCTACCTCGCCCTGAGCCAGTTCGGAATGTAGTTTGCAGTCTCTTTCTTTATTGGTGAAATTTCATAAACTGCTTGGGGGTGATTTCTTCTTCCACCGCAGTGGGGGCCCGAGCTCAGTGTAAGCGGGAAGCACACTATCTAAAATAAAAGGGTAAGGCAACAGGATAACTAGCATTTATGCAGCGCTTAAAGGTTTGTAAAATGCTTTGCACATATTACCTCATTTACTCTTCACAACAATCCTGCAAGGTATGTTTTATTATTATAGATGCTATTATACTCTTTGAGATCTTGGCCATTTTGCAGATGAGGAAACTAAGATTGAAAGAGGTTAAATAACTTGCCCGGGCTCACACAGCTAATAAGCATCTGAGGCGAAATAAAAGGAGGTTACGCCGTAACTGGAAACGCCGCACCTCCTTTGCTAATCCCTCCATGCCCCAAAAGACTACCTGCTTATTAGTGTCACTCAGGAGGAAGTTTGTGCCCCAGAGTAAAAAGAGTTGGAGGATGCGGGAGCCGAGCTGGGGACTGGCCCAAAGCGCAGTTGGGCCCAGTCCTACAGGTTGGGAATCCACATACGGCGAAGATTGCATGGTATCTGGGACCATTCACACAAGGTTCCAGGCTCGAATGAAGTCAGAAACCTGGCGCTCCGCAATTGCCGGGTCTCTGTGGGAGGCTTTGTATGCCTAGACTGAGTCTTAAAAAGAGGGCTGGGGGGGGGGCGGGCAGTACTTCGGCACCCCGGGAGCCAGAACCAGGGCGGAGCATTGGGAGGGGACAGAGCTAGGGGCGGAGAGCAAGGCCGCGTGGGTGACTCCCTCTAGCACGCTGGACAGCTCCCCTCCCAGAGCCTTAGGGCCCGCTGTTTTGTTAAGCTGACTGCATCAACAGTGTTGGCCCCTGGGGAGGGTGAGGGGCGTCTCCGACGTTTGCCCTTACTCCCTCCCAACTCACCCCCGCGCACTGGCCCGGGTCCCACTACCCGCCCTCCCAGCTTAGCCCCTAGCCCCGGTCTAGCGCACACTGAGCCTCTAGGTCGTCGCAGAACGGGCTGGGTAAGACGTTTCCTCTATCCTTCCAAGTCAGTCTCCGGAAACCAGAGCCCGGGCCGCAGTAGGGTATCAGAGATGCTGCTCGAGCCGGACCCCGAGCGGGACAGGGAGAGGCCCGGAGTTCCTGCAGCCGCGGCGGTCTGTGCCTTCGGCGAGACCCAAGGTAAAAGCTCTGAGTCGGCTACAAGGCCCGAGTTAATTTACTTCCGTAAGTCCCGGGATATGCTGTGTATAAGTGTGTAAACGTGTGTATGAGAATCAGACAAACTGCTAGTACTGGTGCATTTGAGAGTAATAAAGTGAAAGCGTAAGTGAAGGTAGTAAATGTGGGAGTGTTAGTGATTGAGGGTAGTAAAGTGTGGAGGTCTAAGTGAATGAGGGTAATAAAGGTGGGAGTCTAAGTGAATGAGGGTAGTACAGTGTGCAAGTTAGTCCTTGCTGTTTACTCTGTGCCTGTTATCCTTAAAGGTGTGATTCTGTCTATGTGATAATATGATGCCTCAATCCTGGGCCCTCAGCATCCCGAGAAGCCGTCCCCAGCCATCGGATGTGTGGGGCTGTCTAGGGGCATTCCTCAGAAGGAGACTTTTACCTTAGCTCTTTATAGAAGACCCCCCCCCCAACACACACCTATAACTCCTATGACCTTTCCATGCATCTAGGAAGGGAATAGGAGGGTCTCTAGGCCTACAGTGCTTTTCCTACAAGACTTTTCACTGTCCCCCACCTCCTCGTTAGTTCTCCAGGTCGTTGGCTGAATAATGAGGGCGATTGTTGGTACCACCCTGGCCAGATGCCGAGCGCGTGGGGGACCCGCCTCCAACTCATCACTCAGCTGGACAGGCCGGTTCGCCCCCTCTCCTCCAGCACTGCCTAGGATGGGACGAAGCGTCACACACTGCGATACTTAGGGACAGACTGTGTTCCCTTCTATATTCTCTCCGGTCCAACCTGACCACAGCATGTATATTTGGGAAGTGAAAAGCTAGGAAAATCAGAAAAATCCTGGAAGAAAGTGAACTGTTCTCGTTTGCCTTTATAATTCTCTCTCTCTCTCTCTCTCTCTCTCTCTCTCTCTCTCTCTCTCTCTCTCTCTCTCTCTCTCTCTCTCTCTCTCTCTCTCTCTCTCTCTCTCTCTCCATTCCTAGATCCCATAGAAAGACCGAAACAGTGACAAAATTAAAACGAGATATAGAACAACAGTGGGGAGGTGGGGGGAGGTTGCTGGATCCTAAACAAGTGACTCCCCTCCCAGGATAACCCTAGTTCTGCTTCTCTAAACTCTCTTCCCTTTCCCTGTTGTCCTGTATTCCCCTCATTTCCCCACCAGGCTGTATGTCCCTGTCATTAGCGTATCGGTAGTTTTGTTTCTGTCAGAGTGGCTCCTACTCTCATTGATCTGAGCTCCATGCTTCCCCAACATTAGTGAAAAGTAGTAGAATCTATCTCTACTCAACCCCCTCGAATCTAATTACTTAGTTTACTTTCCTGCCTTGAGGGTGGGGATAGGTGAAGGACTTCGAGATTCTGTTACCCAATGTCTCATTCTCTGTGCTGGAGATGTGGATGATTCAAGTATATCTTCCTTTGCCTACCCTGAGCCCAGGAATTGAAGGGCGAACTAGGAACAGAATCTCCCAGATTATTAAACCTTGCATACTGAAGGAAAGTGTGTGTGTGTGTGTGTGTGTGTGTGTGTGTGTGTGTGAGTGTGTATGTGTGTCACTGGAGCTTTGCCTTCCTTCCACTTTCTCCCTGTTCCCTCCGACCCAGATCCTAGAGATCATTCCCTAGGATTCCTGAGATGGGGGAGGGGAGAAGAACAGTCCATGTTCCCTGTAGGCAGGTTTTTAGGGAACAGGTGTTTGGAAGAGGCCAGTTTAGCTTATGGAGAAAAAAAAAAGCTCCAGTGAATTTTAAGCTATCGCCTGCCCAGGTCAGAAGGGTGGGGAGTGCAAAAACGAGTGGCAATGCAGAGGGGCTGAACCCAAGGGGAAATCTTGTGGGGAACAGGGAAAGAACAGAGAGATTAAGAAAGGAAAAGGAAGCTCTCAAGGGCCCAGGAAATCTCTTGGGGAGGGGGGAATCCGAAGCAATTACCGCTTCAGCCCCGCGCTGGTTCTCTCATGCCCCTCAAACCCTATTCTACCCTAAATCTTTGGGAAAGAGGAGGGGAATTCACCAAATTAAAGTTCTCCGGCCTTGGGTTCGGCTTCCAGGATTGTTAAATAACTTTTAAAACGTCCCCCACTCCAAGTCTTCTCTAAGGCAGCATGGCCCCCTACCTTTCGTCTCTAGTTGGCTTTGGGTGCTGGAAGAAAAAGCTGTAGTTTATTTCGGTTAAGGATCAACCCAGTAAACAGCACTCCGACTGATTTCCCTAGGCGCTGCAGAAAGATAATTCCTTTCTCAAGGGCTGAAATGTGCGAGAGAGCAGGACTGAAGGATCCCACACACAATGAGGGGTCCTAACAAGAAACTGCCATCGCCTGGATCCCAGTCACTGAACAATTACCGGCCTTACTCGATCTCCTCAGCCCTGGGACGCTTAGAACTGGGGCCTGGAGGGTGGGCATTCAAGCGGCTCAGCACAGGTCTGACTACCCAAAAATCGAAGAGGATGATCTGGGGCCAGTTGTCATATGGGCTCCAAGATTGGAAGAATTTAGTTTCCATACCATCCCTTTGCCAAAAAGGAATCCATTTCATCACAGTTACTGGAGCCTCCTGAACGCCTGCTAACAGTTAGCCTGAGCCCCGTCTCAGCTTGGGAATGGGAGAGAGGAGGAGAAGGCACCTCCGGACACCTGTGACCCTTCGCTCGTTAGCCAGAGGCAAGCCTAGAAGGAAGGGGACAGCATTCAGTGTAAGTGCTCCACCAGCAGGACCTCTGGAGTCATCTACTCTTACTCCCGGGACTGGGATTTCCAGCGGTCAGAGTAGTTTGAAGCCGAGATAAAGTGGGGTTTCTCCCGAAAACTACCCCTAGATGCTGAGTTTTGTGGCTGGTTGTTTTCCCCCCGAGGGTGAGAGAGAGGGGAGATGAGGGACTGTTTCTCGGGAGCCTGGGCTTGAGCTTCTAGTGAATCTTCCCCAGATTCAAACTATCGCACGTGAATTACGCAAACTGGTCTGAACACCTTCTTATCTCTGTAGTGTTCCCTTGAGACCCATTGCTCTGGATGGGGGCAAAAACGTTGCGGGAATTTAGAGCACGCTGCCGGTGGCGGTCAAGCCAAAGCGGTTCCCTACGTCCTCCCCCCATCCCCCACCCATAAACACGACATCTCACTCTCCAACTGCCCCGCCTCTCCGATGCCCCGAGAGGCTAGCAGAGCCCCGTGCCTCTGGGTGCTGTGGCTGTTAATTAGTCTTGTCTCAGGGTACAGCAGGAACCAGTCACTCTTCGCCCCCGTGCGCTCCAGCGCGTCTGCCAGGCTGCAGCTCCCCCACCCCAAAGTCCCCTGCTCTGTCAGTGCAGGCGGCCTCTGAGCTCCGCTGTAGACGCCAGGAGCTCACCGAACACTCCCGAAGGGGGGCGGGGGCACAGAAGGTGGGAGCGAGAGGGGGCGTGGGGAGAAGAGGAAGGAAGGGAGGTTCAGTATCCAAACCTGGTCCCGAGCGCGAATCCAGCGATTGTGGAAGACGATAGAGGGCTGTCTGGCCTGGGTCTGGCCCTGCGTTTTCGATAGTCCTAAAGTTTATGTCCTGAGGAGTCCGCCGGGGAGTCCCCCAGCTCCAGAAGCCAGGGGAGTAAGCGGCGGGCAATGCAAGATGGACGCCCTTAAAGAACTGGGGTCGGGGAAAGACTCCGCGGGGACAGACATGCTGCTCGCGCTGCTAGCACAGAACGAGGACCTGCGCAAAGGTAGGGGTACAAAGGCCTGAGCCGGGATCCCTCATGCCCCGCGAGGCCCAGAGAAGGGAGGGAAACCTTAAGGTTGTCAACATTCCGTAAAGATTCTTTGAGTAGGGATTTCTAGGCCATGTCGTCTCTGCTGCCCCGAGTTCAGGGTCAACCCCCGGACCCAAAGAGCAAAGCTTAGGCGCCAAAGCCCGCTTGGGGAGGATCCCCAGAACTTGCGGCGAGAGGCCAGTGCTAGAGTGAAGAGAAAATAGGTACTAGGAGATGGCTTGTTTTCGGAGGCCGCAGGGAAGGCGGACCAACTGCCGCCCCACCACCACAGGAGGATCGTGCCCCTATCTCCGGGCTATTCCACTGCCTCCCAGACCAGAGGGAGCTGAGCGCTCTCTTTGCCTAGGGCAACTTCTCCATGGGCTCTGGCCTCCGTCTCCTAGCCTTTCCTATCTCAGAGCAGGGGACAAACCTGACTACTCTGACTTCCCGGGTTCCCTTCCTGGAGAACTGGTTGAGTGAAGGCCCATCGGTTCCTATCTTGTTTAAGGAAATGGAGAATCCCCAGTGTCATCACCAAAGGCGGTCAGACCACAGGAGCCAGGGTCCCTGGGCAGGCTTTGTCCACATTTTGAAAATCCGGCGTTTAGCGTGTATAAATTGCTGTAGAGGTGTGTGTTTGTTGGTGCTGTCTCTGTGTGGAAAGCTTCCTTTCCTATTTTCATAGAGTTTGAATATGTGTGTACATTTCATTTTAAATGTCTGGGGTTTGTGGGTATGCCTGTAAATTTGTGTTTTAGGGAAACTAGTTCTTTCCCTTGCAATTGAATATTGGTTGTGTTTGTGTGTCTGTTTTTAAAATGTTTGTATTGTGTTAAATTTGTGTTGTTTACCTGGGAGTGTGTATTTGTGCAATTGTGTCATGTGTGTTGTTTATGCATATGCCCTGTATCTCTCTCTAGGGGTGTATCTCTATGATGTCTGAGTATACATAGTCTATGATGTTAGTTTAGTGTGTGTTGGATTGGGTTAAGATGTTTTGTTGGTATTCTCTGCCCAGTGCTGTTTAAATATGTTCTGTTCTGTTGAGTTAATGTATATTCTATAGGTTTGTTCTGGGATCTATTGGGTTAATATGGGTGTTCAGCTTTCATCCTAAAGTATGACTTCCTGGGACTCAGGCTCTAAGTCTCAGGCCTTCTGTGTGGGAAAGAGCTCTGTGTCCTGGGGATGAGCTCTCCACTGATGGAGTCATCTCAAAAGAAGAGGAAACAAGAGGGAGCCTAGTCCAGGCCAGAGTTTTCCTTTAATTCTGCTATGGGTGCAGAGGCCAGAGTGGGGGAGTAAGAAAAGGGCAAAGTTCAAAGCAGAAAGACAGTGTAGGACTGAGTAAAGAGGCCTCCTCTGTGGGCTTCCAGTCTTCCAGGCAAGAGAAATTCTTCCTAGAAATAATGGTCCCATTCTCAGAAGCCTCTGTGAGATTCACTTTCTGGGATTCTCTGATCCTATTGCTCCTAGACACACCCTCTTTATTGCCTACTCAGAGCAGGCCCTCACTCTCCTTTCTCTCAAAACCCCTCTACCTCTGTGACATCTGAGCTCAGAGGAATTTTAGGCCCACAGTCCAGAACCCAAATCCAAAGGCACAGATCTGACCTGTCCCCAAACACTCACCTTATAGTTTCCTCAGATGAGAGCCTGCTTGCTGGTCAGGACTTCTTGGTGCCAAACTTTAAAGCACTTTCCTGGTGGATCACAGAACCCTACATAGATTTTCCCCCAAGGCCAGAGGCTCTGAACAGTGCTAAAGACACAGGCCCTGGGTTTTCCCTCCCTCTGAGCCTCCTTAGGCCTCAGCACCTTTTAAACTTGGAGCTAACTCCTAACTTTGACTGGTGGGAAAATTGACATTCCATTCAGGGAAGTTCTGTACTGACAAAATGCCCTGACTTATGGATCAGGAAACTCCTTATCTGGTCTGCTCCCCTATCCGCCACCCCAGCTGTGTGAACAGGTGAAGATACATCTTGAAAGCTTTGATGGGACACTACCTCCCAATTAATCCCCACACAACCCTCAATCCTCTTGGGTCCCGAAGTAATAACGGCTCACACACATATACTATAAATCACATACGTAAATATATATCATTGTGTGTATATATGCATATTACTCTAAGATTTGCAGATCATTTTTCTTATACAAGTTCAAGTGTGTTATACTCAAGCTAATACTCATATTATTAGCCCCATTTTGCAGATGAGGAAACTGAGGTTTGAGGTTAAATAGTTTGTTCATCATCACAGTGTCTGATCCAAGACTGGAACTTAGGTATCCTGATTCCGAGCCCAGAGAAACTGAGCTGCAGTGACTCCCATAGGTGAGAAAGAGGGAGTAATCCTGGGGGTGGGGAAGGAGAGAAGGGTCAGATCTAGGGTTCGGGTTTTGATTCAACCTGCTTTTACTTATTTATATTTAACGGAGATTCCAGGGAAGGGGTTGGCCTAAGGAACTGAGGGGAAGGGGGTGGGGTGGGGTGGGAAGAAAGGAAGCGAGATCGTCCAGCAAGACCTGCTCCTGAAGAGAGGGAGTTAGAGAGTAAGCAGAAGGGGAAACGTCGAGAACATTATCTAGCAGAGCGCAACCTGTCTGAAGCCACGATGCAACGTAAGAAATACACTTGAGGAAGTTAGGAATGGGAATGGAAGAGGAGGTTAGGAGGTGTTTTTCGGGAGCGGGTTAGGAAATGGAGGGAAGGGTATTTGGGAAGAGGATCAGCTGTCAACAGTAGTACTCTGAGCAGAATTTTGCCGGGCGTTGAACAGCAGAGGTGAGCATTGGCTCTAGCTTCTGAAATCTTCAGCGGCCGCCTTCTGCGCCACTTTGAAGAACTGTCCGGGTTTGGGGTGCTGAAAATCTGAGCGAATCTTCACTAAAGAGTCTAGGCTTCCGCGTCGCTTGTTTTGTCCACTCAACTTTCGTGGACTATTGTCACCCTGTCCTCCATTCCTTTTCGGGGACCTAGCTAGTCGTCTGCAGGGTATAGGGGAGGTGTGTGTGGGCGTGATCACTGTTTTGTTGTCTGGGTTGGGGAAAGTGTAGTTAAATGTTAACTCAGGGACTCCATCTCTGCTGTACCTCCGTGGACTCAGATCAGCAGAAGCCTATCTCTCTGGATTGTGAGTTTCTCGGAACCGGAATGGGTAGGATTGGACTTCAACTACTGCTCAGAATACTTTCTCCCAAACCTGGAACTAGGTAACATTTTAGGGTAAAATCCATGTTGTGTGTAGTCTAGGTCCCGAGTGTAGGAAGCCCAGTAAGTTTGAAGACTACAGAAATCATTTCCCTTTTTCCTCCTTGCTCTGTTTCAGTGGCTCTGAATTCTGCTGAGTAGTGAGGGGTTCAGGGAAAAGACACAGGATGGACCGCGTTCTTACCTCCCTAGAAACACCGCCCCCCACCCCATTCCTCATGAAAGAGCTAGGTCTAGGATATGCATGACTACCACTGGTCGTGTTTCTACATAGGTATCATTTTATCTTTTGCGTACTTTTTTGGGGGGTGGGAGGAAGTGGGAGTAATCCTTTACTTCACATGTGCCTTAGGGAATAAAAGGAGACCCTCTCATTCCAGGAAACCCTCACCCCTTATCCTCCATTACAGTGAAATAGTAGTTGCACAATCTGTTATCCAAGTCCAAGCTTCCGAGAGTTCAGTTTAGGTTCTGCCACCGGCTGCAGCCTGAGTGGACTTGTTCTCCAGCTCTTGCTAAATTGGGTGAACAGAGGGGAAATGGTCTTGGGATCAGTTGCACTGGTGTGATGAGAAATAGGGGAAGGGCAAACGGACGCAGCGACCAAACTTGGAAGGAGAGGGTGAGTGTCCACGTGTGTGTATGCAGACAAACAGCCCTCATAGACGCTGAGTGCATCCAAATATGTGTGAGCGTGTGTATGGGGGGAACGTAAATTCGAAAGCAGTCACAAATGTTGCATACTAATGAACACATCCTCAGTGTATCCGATAAGCATATACACAGTGTACTCAACTAGTAGTATATTTCTCTCTAAACCTGCATCAAGTGTTTGTGAACTAACAATTCAGTATTTTGTGTTACCAGATCCAACTCCAACTATAAAAATTCCAACAAATGCTATATAATATATCCGGATAAGCAGTTGCTTCTGGGACAATCTGTATGCAACAGATCTAACGGGAGGTCTATGTGTTTGCTACTGTGCAACGCCTGCCCAAATATTTTCCCGTTTTCATCACATACTCGTACAAATATGTAGATGGCTCACAAAACCTGAGTTTCTTTATAAGAAATGACCCTCCACACTCACCTATCCATATTGCATATTATAGGCACACAAGGACTATGTGTGTACCTATATATACACCGAAGTGATGCAGATAATTTCTGTGTCAATCTCAGGGAATATGGAATCCCTAGGGCGGGAGTGGGAAATCAGGATAGGCAACAGGAGTCCTTCTAGCTCTGTAACCAAACGTTAGGGCAGAGAATTGGAGGAAGAGATTCTTCTTCCTTCTGGCTGAGATACCCGGAGCCGGGCTCCAGGAAAGGAGTGCATGAGCTGAGCTCTCCGTCCAAGTGAGCCTCTCTTCCCCCTTTTCCCCTTCCACACAGAGATCCCCTTGTGCGCGGGCTGCAACCAGCATATCGTGGACAGGTTCATCCTCAAGGTCCTGGACCGGCACTGGCACAGTAAGTGTCTCAAGTGCAGCGACTGTCAGACACCGTTGGCCGAGAAGTGCTTCAGCCGTGGGGACGGCGTCTATTGCAAGGAGGATTTCTTCAAGTGAGTGGGGAGGGGGGACAGCGGCCATCCGAAGCGGGGCTAAAGGCTTCAGTTTAGTCCCCCTGTAAGGTCAGACCTGCAGGCACTGTTAACTCTTCCCACTCTGGAGTTAAAGGGCAGCCAGCTGAGACCAGACAAACTGGAGTGCAAGGTTTTGGAGTGGGGTGAAGGTGGCTGAGAAAGGTGGCATCTTCTTTTTATTACAAAGCAAAACTCCCCAGGAAATCCCTCTGTGGGAGCCCCTACTATTCTTAAGAAGCACTAGTTGGTAATCAGTGTTTATTTTCTAATCGAATGAGAGTCACGGTGAGCTGGGGTCAACTTCCCTTCGATCTGGAGTGTAGACAGAAGCCACACCTAACGAAATCTGGCCAGGACAACCTCCTTCCCTCTGGGAGAGAGGGAAGCCCGTTGGTGGGGTAGCCCCCTGTGTTGCAGCTCTCTGTCCATGGCTTTGGCTGAGCCCTTCCGGATAATCTTATCATGCAGGGGGAACAACCGAGTTTCTATGACTGGTTTCCATGAGGACGGCCTCAGGCTTCAGGTTATTTCCCCTCTCAACCTCTCGGAATAGAACTCTACAAAGAATTGTTTGTTGGAAAAGTTAAAGTACATGGGCTAGGAATTTATTATAATTAACTGGATATTACACATAAAGATTAGGTGGTATTATAGTCATATTTGTATAGCCAAATCTCTTACCCATCTATGATCTCATTCGATTCTCACAATAATCCCATGAGACAGACAGAGCCAGGATTATTATAGCCATTTCACAGATAAGGAAACTGAGAGCCTCGGAAGGTGATGTAATTATTTAGGATCACACAGCTAAAAAGTAGCAGAGCTTGGACCAGAACCCAAGTGTGTTGATTGACTCCAAGACCATGGCTCTTTCTGCGGCAGGTGTACCCTCTACTGCCTTGTTCTGTTCCCTACCGCTCCCCAAGTCCTGAGTCTTTGGCCTTGGTCTTGCAGGAGGTTCGGGACCAAATGCGCAGCGTGCCAACAGGGCATCCCGCCTACGCAGGTGGTTCGGAGGGCTCAAGACTTCGTCTACCACCTACACTGTTTCTCCTGTGTGGTTTGCAAGCGGCAGCTAGCTACAGGCGACGAGTTCTATCTCATGGAGGACAGCCGGCTGGTCTGCAAAGCCGACTACGAGACTGCCAAGCAGCGGGGTAAGACCCTGCAGCGCTGGATGGAGAGGGAATTGGGGGGAATAGGGGCAATTTATATTCAGTGGTCTCCTGTCTTCTCGTTGGGAAATCCTGTAATTCTCCCGAGGCACACCCCACTTAAAAAAGAGAGAAACAATCAAATTAACTCATATTCTCCCTGGAAAAGGAAGTTAGATTTCCCTGGTTGCTTTTCGTTAGCTAAGAGGAAAAAACTATCTGAATAATTCAGCCATATGTGAAGGGTGGACTTAATTTTCCGAATAAATTCTTCAATTCTGGCGGTGAGCTAAGCCAACAACAGGGAATGAGGTGAAGAAAGGAGGCTCTGCTAATTTAAAAGGAAAGGGGATGGGAGGGAGTAGAATTTGAAAATGATCACAAACTATGTATATATATATATACATATATATACATATATATGTATGTATGTATGTATGAATCCAAGAATAATATTTTCTTATTATTCTTATTAAATAACATAATAGATATTACAATTTATATCATCCTCTCCTCTGTGAGAGAAGGGCCTGCCTTTTCACTAAGAAGATCTCATAGACTCTTATAATCTTAGAACCATAGAATCAGAGAACCTTCCACAGAATCAGAATAATAAAAACAATGGAACCTTTAAAGCCGGAAAGGTCCGGAGAACATAGAATACCAGAGCTGGAAGGGATCTTCGAAATTGCCTGGCCCTCCAGCCTTCCCCTCATGTTATGGTTCCTAGCTCTTCTGAGTTTCGAGAGCTTCAGGGACCAGGGAAGGGTGTCCCTGCGGAAAGGTGTCAGCGGAGCGCTCGTCTCGTTGCAGAGGCCGAATCTACCGCGAAGCGGCCTCGAACCACTATCACGGCGAAGCAGTTGGAGACGCTGAAAAACGCCTACAACAACTCGCCCAAGCCTGCGCGCCACGTCCGGGAACAGCTTTCTTCCGAGACTGGCCTCGACATGCGGGTGGTTCAGGTCAGGGACTGCAGCAGCCCCTTGCCCCGCCCCACCTGGGAGAACCTCAATGACCCGGGCCCCGAGCCCGGTGTCCTGTCTGCAGACTCAAACCCGCCGAGGTCAACCCTGCTGGGCTGGATCCTGTGTCAATAGAGAGTGCGGAGTGGGGACCCATGGTTTACCTGAATCATTTTGCATTCTCCCTTCCTCTTCCCAGTCACAACCTAATCCAGGGGCTCATAATCTTTTTGTGCGTCATAAATCCTTTGGGCAGTCTGGGGAATTCGAGGGACCTTTTCTCTGAAACTTTTAATGCATAAAATAAAAGACAGAAGATTTCAGAGGAAACCAATTATATTGAAATGACATTATAAAATATATTTTTAAAAAGTTAATGGGCCCGTAGTAAGAATCCCTGCCCTAGATAAATGCAAAGAAAAAAAAAATCTACCTCTAAGCACTTAACTGAAGGCAGGCAAAGTTCAGCTTTCGTGCTGTCCGAGGTCACTTACTCTTACTCTACCGCACTCTTTTTCCCTGGTTAGAGAAAGACAAACGCGAGTAAAAACCGATCTCCAAGCCCTCAATCGACCGAAAGCTGGAGTCAAGGCTTGACCTTTTCAGTTCACCTGGCAATGTCTTCCTCTCCTTTCTTCCCTTCCCCTCCTCCCGTCCTTCGTTGCCCCCAACAGGTCTGGTTCCAGAATCGACGAGCGAAGGAGAAGCGACTAAAGAAGGATGCTGGCAGGCAGCGCTGGGGTCAGTACTTCCGCAACATGAAACGCTCCCGAGGCAACTCCAAATCCGACAAGGACAGCATCCAGGAGGAGGGGCCGGACAGCGATGCTGAGGTCTCCTTCACAGGTGAGCAGGTGTAAAGAGAGACGACGCCTCTCCTCCCCAGCCCAGTCATTGCTCCAGTCCCTGATCCAGACTTGCAGACTGGTACTCTCCAGGGAAACTGTGCCCTCTTTGGCTTAGGGAGAAGGAAAGAATATCACTGGGCGCCTGGGGAGAGCAGGAAGATTTCTTTTATTCCTGGATGACAGCAAAAGAGACTTTGCAGTTATAAGCAGCTTCCCTCCTTGTCTCCAGCTTTTGCTATTGTACCCTTCTCTCCACCTCTAATCAGCAATTGTTGGTTAATTTAGACAGTGAAGGTGGACAGATGATTTTTCAAAAATCCACCTTGATGGCTAGATTATATGGATTGGTTATCTACACTAATCAACTGAACTGGATAATTGTCTGACCATATTTCCCTCTGTTGACCAACCTTTAAATTAGAATCTGGACTCTACTACTTTACTATTCTTGCAGGGGTTTATAACAGGATTTATTTCAAAATTTTTAATCAATGGTTAAAAAAAATCCAGACAGAGTTAGGAGTGACTAACAATCCTAACTAATTCAGAAGTTATGGAGAGTATGTCTCTCCATATATAATCTAGGTGTTGTTTATATTACAAAAGGCCTCTCTCTGACAGTGGATGAAAAGAACCTTAATTCAGAGTTGGGCTCTGATCTTTGGTCTGCCTCTAATTAGCTATGAATACTTTGACAAGTCACTGGACAACTCTGGGCCTCAGTTTCCTAATCTGTAAAATGGGATGGCAATAACATCTCCAGTTAACCTCCCCATAGTGCTGGGGAGTGCATTTTGTAGAGTTTTAAGTTCCACAAAAGTGTCTGGGAAAGGTGTCACCCCAGACACTTGGGTGATTATTATGATTAGTCTTCATTATCTGTCAGTTTCTTATGGGTGTACATGGTGGGCAGAACACAACTATAAACCTTGCCTTCTCATACCCTCCTGTATGAACCAAAGCAAGAGGAGATGAATAAGTATGGGCAGAGTCCTCTCCATTTTTTGCCCATCATTTGAAGTTTGGTTTAGTAAATCAGACAAATCTTTTGTTAGAAGCAATCACCTTTTGTCTTGCTAGAGACACCTAGGGCGCACATTGGATAGAGCACTTGGCCGGGAGTCAGGAAGACCTGAATTAAAATCCAGCCTCAGATATTTACTCACTGTGTGACCCCAGGCAAATCACTTAGTCTCTGTCTGCCTCAGTTTCTTCAACAGTAAAATGGAAATCATAACACCCTACCCGAGGTTGTTGTGAGAATCAAATGAGATAATATTCCTAAAGCGCTTAGCAACAGTGCCTGGCACATATTAGGCATTTAATAAATGCTTTTCCCTTCCTTTCCCCTCCACCTTGCCTTCTCCTGGATTAGGCAGAATCAAAAGAAAACCAGATCTCAGATTTTAATGGGAAGACCACCAGTAAGCAGTTGTGAGAGAGATGGGAGAAGGGAAATCTCAAAACTAAGGTCTTAAAGATCTCTCCATCAACCTCAGTTTTACATCTACAAGAATACCTGCCCTTCCCAGTATCCTTCTGTGTAAGTGATGTACCTGCTGACCACCAGGAATGAATATTCTCTGAGTTATTTTTCCTAGGAGATTCATTCTGAATTTTTTATACTTTGTTCCATATCTACTAATTCATATTTGTGAGATGGCTGAACAGGGCTAATGTTGTCTGTGGCTAGGGTTAGGACTCAACCTATGAGCAAGGTTATAGGTATTGGTCTAACTGGGGTTAGAACTGGATCAGGAGTCCATCTCAGGTGGCTCAATCTTTGATCTAAATTAGTGTTCAGTTTGTGTCTGTGGTTATGGCTCAGTCTGTGGCCTTGGGATATATTTCTTCAAATGAGCTACCCAGCTGTTCTGGTTTTTAACCCCATGAGTGGATTGGCCCAAACAAATTCACTTCATCCAGTGGTTTTCATAGAACTGTTTCTCTGTTTCTATTCTAGATGAGCCATCCATGTCAGAGATGAGTCACTCCAATGGGATTTACAGCAATTTGAATGAGGCTTCACCAGCGATGGGAAGGCCAGTGGGCACCAATGGTAGCTTCCCAATGGAGCACAGTGGCCTTCCTGCTCAGGACCAGTATCATGACCTTCGATCTAGTAGCCCCTATGGCATCCCCCAGTCTCCAGCCTCCCTGCAGACCCTGCCTGGTCACCAGCCATTAATCTCCACCTTGGTTTACCCTGACCCCAGCCTAGGCATTGTGGCTCCAGGTGGACCTGGTGTGCCCCAGCCCATGCGGGTGATGGGGGGAAATGGACCCAGCTCTGACCTGTCAACAGGGAGCAGTGGGGGCTACCCTGACTTCCCAGCAAGCCCTGCCTCCTGGTTGGACGAGGTTGACCATGCTCAGTTTTGATACAGGATGCATTCCCAGCCCCAATGGAGCCTGAAAGCACAGGCTGGGTATTTGAGAACAGCAGGACTCCAGGCTACATCTATGGGAAGGAGGGGGGGTAAAGGGACAGAAGGATGGGCCCCTGCCCTCCCTCCCTCTTCATGTGCTGAACATCCAACCAGGTCATGGGCCACCTTGAAGACTTTGGATGCAGGGAAAGAATATCAGGGGACCCCTCAGGTTCTTTCAGGACAAGACTGAATCCCCAGATGGAGATTTTTCAGGTTTGAAGAACTCTCCTCTTTTTCTTTCTGACTCAGCTCATTCTTGTACATGAGCATGGACTGGGCCTCATTAGCGGTCTCCAGCTTAAAAAGGCTGGCATTTGCTTTTATTTTTTTAAATAGTCTTCTATTTCATCCCTTGACAGAACATGTCTATAATGCTAGAGGAGAAATGTTGCTTCATTTACAGCCAATCCCTTTTCTAATCATTCTTCTCTGGCTGTGCCTCCCTATCTTGGTCCAAAACAGCTGACATTTTGGGATTCTTATTATTATTAGTTATTTTTATTTGCATTTACTGTTTACACATCGAATGTCAGTGACTTTAGTAAAAAAAAATTCTCTTTATTTGGAGCCCCATGAATTCATAATTTGTTTTACTTTCCACATGGCATTCCTGACTCTCACTGAGTCAACAGCTTAGCAAGTACAGTGTCAGGACCTGAATCTTCAGTGTTACTGACACACCCTTCCAGAACACTGGCTGGTTGGACATCTGGTGCAGTGTTTCACTGGCTAACATGATTTCATTTACCAGAGTCCTTTAGTATTTTTCTTTATAACGACAATGTGTAAAACCCTTTGCATTGTGTGTCTTTTGCTAATTCAGGCAGCCTCTCTGCTCCAACCACCACTCCTACCCCACTCCATACATATTCCTATCCCTGTTTATCTTGAATGAGTGAGATCATCCTAGATCACCACTTACTCATTGACATCCCTCCCACACCACTACCCCCAGCTCTGGCCTCTTGGGGAAGTAAGACCTCTAATGATTGGGCTGCCTCTGCTTATTTGCTTACTTCCATCCACATCAAACTGTCTGGCGGAATATGACAGACAGCTGCTCCTTTTCTGTTTGAGCATATCCTTCCCAACAGACTGTTTTCCTTGCCAAGATTGGTTTAAGTTTGTAAACACATGGGGTTCCCCTTTTGCTAGTTTCTTCTAAGACAGGGAAAACCCAAAATGGTTTGAGCTGCAGTTAATGTCTGTTGCCAACACCCCTTGTTTTTGTCCCTATGTTGGATTTGGATCCTGGCTTTGGTACAGCTTTCCCTTGGACAGGGGTCTGTCCCACAATGACTCTATTTTGTCTGCCATTGGCCACTGGTCACCATAGGAGGCATCTGTATTTCAGAAAGTCTCTCCAGGCCCAGGGAGAGCTGATTATGAAAAATGAGAACAAAAAAACAAAATCACATGTATGTTGTTACCTGTAAAGCTGAATATTGAACTAACTGTAGATTATGTGAGCGTCCAGTGTCTTTTATTTATTCTCTAATGATCAAATATTTCAAGACTTCAATAAATTTGTCAGTTAAAGTCCATTTATTTTCAAATTCTTTTACTAGCTTTGTATAAAGGATGCTCAGTCTGGGCAGCCAAAGCCCCTTCTTGAAAATAATGAAACATTTTGTTTAAAGAACTACACATTCATCATGGCACAGAAGAAATAAGCAGCATGGGAGCATTTGCATTTTGTTTGAATATTAGTTCCCATTTGGCCATGTTTCTGAGGATTTGGAATATAAGCAGAGCTATGCTGAAAAAGTGTAGGGATTTTTGTTCAGGTATAGGTTGAACTAACTGTCTTCTGAAGTCTCTTCAGCTCTAAAAAATTGTGTGTGTGTACATGTGTGCGTTCATATGCACAATTAATTTGCATGTATTCAGTGCCATGGGAAAGAGAATTTGAAATCAAATAATTTATTCTGGGTCTTAGGTTAAGCATAGATAGAGAAGGCAAAGTGGTCTGTACTTTCCCCTGTGCATTAGGAGTTTAGTCAATTCATCAATAAGTATTTATTAAGCACCTATTCTGTTCCAGGCATGGTTGAGCTCTCTGGGGGTACAAGAACAAAGCTGAAAAAAATCTCTGCCCTCGAGAAGCTTACATTTCTATCTGGGAAATAGCGCATGAATATGGATATAATTACGTGCAAAATGCATACAAAGTAAATACCAGGTAATTTGGGAGTTGGGGAGGCCCTAGAAGTTAGGTAGTGATCAAGAAAGGCTTTGTGTTGGAGGAGGTCTTTGAACTTAGCTTTAAACAAAGGTAGGGATTCTAAGAAGTGGAACTGAGGAAAGATTGCAATCCAGGCATCAGGGACAGCCAGTGCAAAGACATGGAGATGAGAGATGGAGTATGTGTAAGGAACAGCATGTAGGTCATTTAAAATAAACAACTACAAGCATTTTAATTATGAACAATGTGCTTGGGTATGAGTGTTCAGCTATGTCTGAGAATTTATGGTAGAGTTCTGAATGTCTGGGTTGTTTAAAGATTGCGTGCAACTCTAAGAAGATTTAAAGAGCAGTGTAATGAGTGCTGAATTTGAATGAATGCATATTTATTAAGACTTATTATGTGTAAATAATTTAGTGTAAAAGGACATGGGTGCAAATCCTGCTTCCACTATTGGCTACCTTTGTGACTTTGACTAAAATAATTTTATCTTTTAGAGTCTCAATTCATTCATAAGTTTAGGAGGTTGGACTGGATGACCTTGAAGGTACATTCCAGGTCTAAAACTACCAATGGCAAAGGTAGTTTTGGGATGTTCCATGCACTGTTGGAATTTGGCTTGAGGTACTTGTGGGGCATTTCCCTGGTTGAAGCCAGAGGATGCTTCTGATATCTCTTCCTATGGGAGGGAGAGGCTGGAACAGGGAAGGGGTGGTTTCAGAGGGAGGCCTGCGCATAAACTCCATGGAGCCTGACAGTGAATAACAGCAAGGCCAGGTGGGAAGCCCATTTGGGAAGTTATCTGGGGACATATGATTAGAGCTTCATGCAATGAGACACTGGCTTTGACTGAAGTGGGCTGTCTTGTCCAGTCTTAGAGCCCTAATCAATGATGGTCACCCAGGGAGACTTACTGGACCTACATGGAGTTGGCTTAAATACAATGCTTCAGGGGTTTCTTTGATTTCTTTTCATTATCATGATTGAATTTCAAGAAATGACAGTGGTTATTCTTAGCTGAAAACCTTGTGGGTCTATAAAATAATTTATTCCTATGGATGACTGCTCTACCACAATGTTTTCAAGAGTCACAGGATCCTACAGTCTTTTTGCTTGGAGGGATCTTCATGATCATGTTGGCCAACCACTTCATTGTATAAATAAAGAAGTTCAGGTTTAAAAAAAGTGACTTATCCAAGTTAGTTGCAGAAATGGGGCTTGTTACAATGCTTTTTACATTTTTATTTTAGCATGGATAAGGTTTTATTATATGTATTTAACATAATAAAGGGTATTTTAGCATGGGTAGTAGTATGAACTCTCATTTATACAGAACATTTGTTGGAGACCTGGGCCTGTAATTTCATGTATGGAACTTCTTGGTGTGGAAACCCCTTCTCTACCAATGCAGACCAGCAAGTCATCACTCTGAAATTCATAGTCCTGGAACCTGTCTGTAACTGGAATCTTTGATTATGTCTGTGATTTTTAAGACTAAACCTGTAATTTATAGAATTGCCTAGGGCACTGAGAGAAAAAGTCACTTGCCCAAGAAGACACCACTAGTACATGTCAGAAGGAAGACTTGAACCCAGGGAAACCTGGGATCCAAGACCAAGGCCTTCCCAAGGCCAACCCTCTATCTGTCATGCCATGATGTCTCTTAGTGCTATTTGAAGTTGACAAGACTCATTCCTCACGATAGCCTTGTGAAGGATTATCATCTTTGCTTTCAGATAAAATCCTGGGATGTTGCTTGGATACAGTAACATGAGGTTGGAGGTGGGGAACAAATCATGTGAAGGAAACTAGATGCTTTGGGGAAGACTGTGGGGAGTAGAGACAAAAGACAAAGTTCCCCATGATTTTTCCTTGAGGCACAGATTGGTAAGAGCTTTTAGGCAGGGTGGAGATGGAGCAAGTCAAGAGATCTGGATTTTAGTCCTGGCTTTACCACAAGCTTCTGTGTGACATATCCTGATAAGTTGTAAATCACTTCACTTCTTAGAGACCCAACTTCCCGCTGTGAAAGATGAAGTGGTACAACCAGGGGGCCTATAAGAACTTGTCCCGATCCAACATTTTATGTTTCCTCATTTGGAGCTGCTTGGCTGCTATCTCCAGATCTAGAAAGCTAAAGGCAGAAGGAATGGAGACAGTGTAGGGAGGCCAGGGAGGTGGAGGACAATACAGAACCAGGCTCTTAGTTATTCAAGCCAATGTCAATCAGCTCTCTAAAGAAAGAAAGGTCAATTACCTGCTGTTGACTCCCCTCTCCATTTATCTGTGACCTTCCTCTCCTGCTTCTAAGCAGTCTTTCCTGGTTGACCCTGTCTAATCCCTCCTCAGCCATGTGCCCTCAGGTCTTATGTGCTCAGTTTGTACATTATTTTGTATGGTGTCTGCACAGTGACCTGCTCCTGCTCAAGATTCTGGCTGTTCAGTTCTGTCGAGGTCAAGGGAGTGATCTTATTTAAACATACAGAAAAACTTTACTCTGAGTCTTTTTCTGGTCCAAGAAAGTCATTGCCCAAGTGGAAAATTGTAGAAATGCTGCGCTGGATTTGTTGATATTACAAACTGATACTTCAGTCAGGTAAGAGATTGAGTCTTTTGGGCAGGACAAAGCCCAGGCAATCCCACTTAAAGGGCCGGTGGACTTGTAAAGTGTATTCAGGGGTAGTTTTAATAGACTAAACTGTCTCCCAGAACCACCCACATCAGTATAAGCTTTCCAGGTAGAAAATACCTGCTAGATACTGGGGGCAGAAGCATCTTTACTGTGACTGTATTCACAAGATGCATAGAGCCTATGAAAACTTCAACAAAGTGGGATGGAAGTAGTCAGTATTTAATACATGTCAATTCTAAATGAGTATGCCCAGGCAAGTGGACTGGTGGTCTCTGTGGTTAGCTTGGTGAAGAATTCAGGGCGCAAGAGCTATTTATTGATGAATGTTAATAATCTCATCTTACCCATAAGGTGCTTCAGAGTTTACAAAGCGCTTTCACTCCCACCATCTCATTTGATTTTCACAACTGCCCAGAAAGAGGAGGAGGAGGACTGGATGACCATATGGTTATGTTGTAGAAGAGATGTTGTGATTAGGTAAGAGTTAGATAATATGTCTTCTGAAGTTCCTTCCAACTATGTGATTCCATAGTTATCTCTATTCTATGAACCAGGGAGCTGAGGCCCAGGGAGATTAAGTGACCCCTCTGAGGTTATGATTAGTACATGAATTGATTTTTCTTTGTTCAGTCGTTTTTAGTTGTGTCTAACTACCAGTGACTCCATTTGGATTTTTCTTGGCAAAGATATTACAGTGGTTTGACATTTCCTTTTCCAGCTCATTTTACAGATGAGAAAACTGAGGCAAGTAGGGTTAAGTGATTTGCCCAAATTCAAACAGCTAGTAAGTGTCTGAGGCCAGATTTGAATTCAT